ATCGCTTCAGCCCGCGGGATGCTTTGATCTGGGAAGAAGCGCGAGCGGCGCGGGGTCGAGCGGGGGTCGATTTACACGGAGCTTCGAGGCGTGGTCCTGAAAGGGAGTTCTCCTGGCCTGGGGGGTCCTGGGGCACCCCATGATCGGCTTCGCAGACGCGATCCCTGGCCCTGTCGCTCATCCTCGCAAATTGAGTGGTCGCCCTTTCTAGATGCTGTCTGTAGAAATTCCCTTTTCTCTCTCTCTCTAACTCTCCGCCGACCCTGTTGTGCATGATATTTTGGGGTGTTAGGTGAACCGTAGCTAGTTGCATTATTTTGTTTTATTGTCTCTCCCCTTAGCAGAGTTTAAGTCTCTAGTTCCCACAGCACAGCCCCGTGGAATGGTGGCGACTTGAGCAACTTTGGGGATCAGAGGGCCCTGCTTTCTGGGGTCCGGTTACCTCTCCTAACTTAGCCCCCGAGCCTCGTCCTCAGGGACCTTGGAAGATGCAGGACTTTGGCAGGCACTTCAGTTGCGGTCATTGCGTAGGTAGGTTAGAGTCGTTGACCCCCCCAACCCCATTGCAGCTGATGGCTCAGCAGTTGAGAAACGAATTTGCTTACTTGTCAGTGGTCATTGTCCAGGGTGACTTTGTGATTTGTCACAGAGAACAGCTGGGAAGGGCAGCAGAAGCACACGTACTTTTTTTTAAATACCTTTTTAATATAATAATATAATAGGTTTTTTTTACATCATTTTGTGCATTTTTCCAACTCAGTGGTAGTCCCCGTGGGCTTCCCATCACCAAGTCACCCGTGTGCCATCACCGTAGTCCAGTGCACTCCCTCCCCCCACCCCCATTTTTTAGCCCATTCCCCTCTCCACCCCAGTAAAATGTCTCTGGTATGTAGTTGTTCATTATTATTATTTTTTCCCCTGGCCCTTTGTACTCCTGCTACGAGTGAAACCATCTGGTGCTTTTCTTTTTCTTTCTGGCTTATTTCAATACACATGATCCCTTCCAGCTCCATCCATGTTGCTGCAAAAGTCATGTGTTTATCCTTTTTGATAAGCACACTACTTAAGAAAGAGAAATATTGTTTGAATCATGGGAAGTATGTTATAAAGGAAGTGAGTTTTATTGTAATGACTATCTTCAAAGGCTTGCATTGTCCTCTTTGAAAAAGTTAAGTTTATGAACTATGTTTTTTTT